TAAACACGGTTTAATAAACTTTAACATTGAAAATATCATAATTAATTAATGAAAAAAGTAACAATACTGATACAATCATCCTCAAAATATGGTGTCAACGAGTATATGAGCACTACTGAGTATGAAAATATAAACCAAATACTTAGTACAATTGTCTGGACAATAGAGCAGTAATAAAGGAAAATAATGGAAAGAGAGTCAAGGTCTGCGGACGTCAAAGCAGCTACCTCGAAGTTTCCAAATACTAGTACCGACACAGATCAAGCAATAACCATGTCCAGATGTACCTGGATCGGCACACGAAGTGCAAAGTGTAGTATGAGTACAACCGACTCATATACTCAATAAGAAATAGAACTAACCTTAGGCTGATAGTAGTAACGAGCTCAGAAGTAGACAGTCAGAAACCAATATAAACGACAACACTAATATAATGATGACAATAGCAATAGCTCGCAGGAATTATCCTAATCAGCTCGTTCATATTACATAAATTTACGAATGCTTTCAAGTATAACAATTAAAGCCCAATACTGATAAGAACATGTCAGTTATAGATAGCATGAGGAATGATACTTCTCAATGCCTACATGTCAAGTATGCATGTCAAATGAATAATTTTACACTGATATCCCCAGATGCTCTCACTCTTAACATACTCAAATTATCTGTCTCAAATGCCCATCTCATCAACACACATCCAAGCACTCAGCACTATACGAGTACCTACATCAATGCCCTTCACCAAAGCGTGTGTGTGTATATATAGGGAAAAAGGCTAGATGTGTCCTTCTATTTTCGTATATAGTTTATATTTATCCTCCGTTTCACTTTTCGTTCAAATCCATCCCTACTGTTAGCAAAGTAAACAAAAATACCCTCAACCCTAACGGTTGTCCACCGTGGCAACCCAATGCCTCAAAATTATAAACGTGTCATTTCCTTATTGGACATGTTTTAAAGCTTCTTTTCTTAAAAATTTCTCTTATTTTGAAATACATTTTTATTAGTGGGTCTCATTTCCCATTTATTTTTCTTTCTCTTTCTTTTTTGTCTCAGCTCCTCAGACAAACCCAAAACGCGCCACCACCGGGCAGTGTTGGTGGTGGGTCTATTTTACCTTCCCACCTCCCACAAATATTTTACTTTCTTAGATCAAAATTATCATTCATGAAGGTTGCTAGCTTAGTGTAATCCTTCTTAAGCAGAGCCTTTTGTTCTTCCACAGATACGTTTGCAACTTCTTCCATAGCAATATATATTGTTCACTCCACCGTCCACAAACTGATGAGCAGTGAAAATATCAAAAAGATTTAATGCATTATAAAAGGGTGAATTCAAAGAAATATTCAAGTTGAAAATTGGCAGCTTATAAAAAGTGAATTAAATACAAAGAAATTTGTAACTGCTGAGGAGAATGGGCAGGCACTGGTGGTAGCAAGAATTGGAAACTTAAAGCATGTTTGTTGTATTGGCTCTTTAAGCCTCTAAAAATCTCATTAATTCTACTTACTTCATGAAAAGAAAAAGAAAAGTAAGGGATTCATACATAAAAGAAGAGATAATCTTCCAAAGTTAAAATCATATGTAGTTTCCAGAAAAATAATTTCCATTCACCTTGCCGATGCATTGATTAAAGGACTCTGTGTGAAGAGAGACGAAAAAGAAAGAGAACGGAGAAAAAAATAAATAGGAAGAGGGACCCACCAATAAAAATGCATTTCAAAATAAGAGAAATTATTAAGAAAAGAAGCTTTAAAACGTGTCCAATAAGGAAATGACACTTGTATAACTTTGAGTGACTGGGTTGCCACAGTGGACAACCGTTAGGGTTGAGGGTATTTTTGTTTACTTTGCTAACGGTAGGGACGGATTTAAACGAAAAGTGAAACGGAGGATAAATGTAAACTATATATCACTGTGCCTGCTCTTACTACTGGTATGTCAGACTCCGGAGGGGCAGATCCTACCTAAGCGCTAATCAAAAACCAATAAGGTTTATTGCAGCGTGAAACCCCATCAACATAATAATAATAATAATAATAATAATAATAATAATAATAATAATAATAATAATAATAATAATAATAATAATAATAATAGTAAAACCAATATTGCATGCTGTGGCGTGCAACTCGATCCACAATAACACTCTCAACATGGCTCTAAGGCCTACCCCAGTCATCAACTTCTCAAGTCACAAGGGCTCACAATCTCATATTACTCAGCCCAACAGAACCACATATAGAACAACAATGATAACATAACAATGAATGATGAACAACGACTGATATATGACATGCAAATAAAGAATCATGACTGAGTGTAAAATTAAAGGTAAATCAGATAACCCAAAATAATAGAAATAGCCTCATCAGGTCTCAGTCAAATAACCACATAGCCTAATATGATTTCTAACATTATCATGGCTCATATAATCTAACAAGTAGGAAAAGCACGGATAAAACAGGACATTATAGCAACATAGTACAAAAATCAACCCGGATCAAGATTACTTAGGTGCACTCCCACACGCCAATCATCTAGCATGTGCGTCACCCCAACACGTCACAAATAACATGGTTCTCAGGGATAATTACTCTCAATTCCAAGTTTAGAATTGTTACTTACCTAAAAACATATAACTCAATACTCCAACAAGCCCTTACCCCAACAAAATTCACAAATTCCGAATACCCATTCTATTACGAATCCAACCATACTAATTGCATCCAATTCCATCCACAAATCGATCACCAAATCTCACTCTCCAACCACATGGTCTAAAATCCTCAAATTTCAATTCACATAAACTAGGTGTAATAATCAATGGGTAATCATTATTTAACATCAAAAGTGATTAAGCTTCACTTACCTCTTCAATTGTAGCAAAAACCCTCTCAAAAATTGCCTTTAACCGAGCTCCACAAGTTCAAAATGAGAATAATGGCTCAAACCCTCGTTTTAACCTTCTTCCCAGTGATTCTCGCACCTGCGACTCACTTAACTGCATTTGCGGTTCCGCTGGTGCGGTCCAAGAGGCGCATCTGTAATCCCTTATCAACCTCTAGCTTTTCACTTTTGGAACACACCCTTGCATCTATGAGTCCGCTTCTGCGGAAGTCCTACCACACTTGCGAGCTCCCACGCTCCCATCCAACTCCGCACCTGCGCATCCACATCTGCGGCTCATCCTGCGTATCTGCGCTCACACAGCCTTGCCCAACCTTCTCCGCTTCTGCGTTCCCTTCTTCGTATCTTCGGGCTCGCAGATGCGGAACATCCCCGCACCTGCGCTCCTCCCCAACCCCAGCCAATCTCGCTTCTGTGACCACCAGGTTGCTTCTGCGGCGTTGCACCTGCGGCAAATCCCTCGCAGGTGCGATTACACCAGAACTGAAACCTTTAGCCATTCCTCAAGTCCAAATATGAATCCGATTTAAATCCGAATCACACTCGAAGCACCTAGGACCCCATCCAAACATACCAACAAGTCCTAAAATACTTTACACACTTACTCGATGCCTCAAATCACATCAAACAACATCAAAATAACGAATCGCACCCCAATTCAAGCCTAATGAAACTAATGAAAAGAAAATTGCCCTTTGTCCACCTATTGAGCCAAAAATGTCCCTTCCGTTATTTTAGTGGCTCAATAATGCGCTTATTACTAACAAACTTATCTGAAAAAGAATTAATTAATATCCACGTGTCACCTTCCCATTGACTAAATATAAATCTCTACTAAACTATAAAAAAAAACCACCATAACCTAGGTTTTGATTGGCCGCATTGATTTTAATCACGTAATCCAAATCTTTTGTTCGTAAAAGACAATGTAACTTATTCTTCTTCATCTTTTAATTAAGTTCTGCGAATGGGAGAATTTTTGTCACCATAAAAAGAAGAAAAGTAACAATTTAAACAAGAAAATGTTGATTTTGGGAATAAAATGAAACGAGTATGGGAATAAAATTTCGAATTTTAACTTTGGAAGTAATTCAGTAAATGAAAGTAGATTCATTAAGGAAATCAAATGGGTATGACATGGGTCTGAGAAAATAATTCATTATCTCCTCCTCTAATTCGATTTCATGGAGATCGGAGAAGAAAGAGGGAGTTTGCAGCGAGGCGGGTCCGTTTTTGGGGCAGGTCCGATGAAAACGTAGGTTATGGGTTTCTTTTTAAATTTTGGTAAGGATTTATATTTAGACCAATGGACGGTAAAACGTGGATATTAATTATTTTTTTCCAAATAAGTCCGTTAGTAATAAGGGCATAATTGAGCAACTAAGATAACGGTAAGGGCATTTTTAGCTCAATAGGTGGACGAAGTTATTTTTGCACCAAATCAAATAGTCTAGGGGCAGTTTTGGCCCTTCTCCGATACTTTTTCTACAACATGAAAAGGAAGAACTCATTTTGTGAAAAAAAGACAATACTTTTTATACATCATGAAAAAAAAGTACTTATTTTATTGAAATAAAAGAAAATACTTTTTCTATATCATACAAAGAAAACATTCATTTTGTAGAAATTATTAGGCACGACACTTTATCTATAATATTAAAAGAAAATACTTTTTCTACAACAAGAAAAGAAAGTACTCATTTTATAAAAAAAAAATACTTTTTTTACTACTTTTTTATTATTCTTATCTTTGTTAGTATTATAAGATGAAGAACTATCAAATAGAATTCTAAATTCAAATTGAGGAAAGAAATCATTTGACATGAATTGACATTTGTTCCAAAACATAAGATAATTTTTATGTATGCTTGTTTAAAATTAAAGTTGAGAATATTGCAAAAAGTTGGATCAATTTGGGCGGGTTGGGTTGCAACCTACTGTTTAGCCTATCTTGATCTAACCCATTTTAATCTAAGTAAACTTTGGGCAGGGTTCGACAATGTCAGCCCCGCCGGGGCCCAAATACAGCCCAAATAACCCATTTGTCCACCCGAACTAATACACTAGCATAAAAGGGATCAATAAACTTATGCAGGCCATAACACGTGGGTACAACCAAGAATATGTAAAAACAATGCAAGGCATATTGTAAGAATAACAGAAGATTTAGCACCAACAAAAGTTACGACATCCGGCCCTCTCTCCACAAATTCTTGGTGAATGACACTTGCATTTCTTTTCAAGCTCTCTGACAGCTGCCACATAAAGAACTCCACGAGGGATTTAGCAGTTTCAAATATCACCCTGCCAGTCACATAGAGCACAAATCTCCTATTGTGTGGCACTGCTAAAGTCGACGACACACATGAGAGCCATCCATTGCTCTGTAAATCAACGGGTTGACTCATATCTTCTAATCTTTTTGAAGTCACTTTCTCAAATGCCTTGTGATTTCTCTGAATTGATTACTCACTTCATCAACAATTGAACAAGCAGAAATTGATTTGGAAGCTGCCATAGCTTGATGAGATGTCTTCACAAATGTTTCCACTGCCCCATTACAAAGGGAAACTAGAATGTCTCTCATTTTAGCTTGATGTTTAGGATTGGTTAACCCAGAAAATATCTCATCGTAGAAGTTTATGTCCACTGTTTTATCAAGATAAACAGCAACTGCAGTGCTCACAAATGTCTGGATACAAACACCTATCATTACTTATACACATATCATCACAAACCACATCCATCCATCTTGGCGCATTCGATGAATTTGATTTCCAATAATGGTCATCCACATTCAACTCCTTCCGTGAATGGCTCTTTGAGTAGAATCCTATAAGCAGATTCCTCGCAAAGCTATCAACACCAACTGAAACGAACCCATTCCCAGCTTTACTCGTCATTCTTGTTAGGATATACTATAAACCATGCTGTTGTTATAATATTCTTTATGGAATAATAGTTTATTTATTTATTCAATTCAATAAAGTTTTATTTTAAATAGATCATGTGTTTGTCTGTGTGTCATTTGATTATATAATAGATGATTTAGTGTATGAAATTTAGCTTATACACGGAAGATTAAATCATCGGTTATTATAAGTCATAAAGTTTATATTCACAATATGAAATTTGACAAACCATCGAAATGGTTGTAGCACAAGATTTAATATAATTTATCTTGATTATGAGAATGATTTAGTTCCGACTTCTTGTGCTAGTACATTTTATATGTATTGAACGGATCAAGTAGAGATAAATATTTTATACTGACTTAATAAAATAATTTCTCTAGTCCATTCAATGTACTTATACTCTTAATCTCGATATAATTATTATTAGTTGTGTATGTCATTTATTGTTTTGATTTACTAAAATACGAGATTCTTTCGTGGGCCAATAATCCTAGTAAATTGGACAATAATAATATACATTGGCGAAGTAATAATTAGTTGTAGAATCCATGTCTCGGCTTTTGAGATTGATGATACTCCTTTATGAAAGCTTATAAGTTTTTAATGTGTAAACCCAACTGGTGAATTTTGTATCCGACACATGAAATAAGTTAAGCGAAAGTCTAAAGGAAGTAATTAATAAATTAAATTGTCAATAATTTAATTTGATTGATTAGTATCTGAATCTTAACATGAGGAGTTAAATAAGGTTTTATGGAAGAATTTCGAAATTGAACTAAGGAGTGCAATTACGAATTTTTAGTGGAATAATTTTTAATTTATTATGGTAGAAATTAATTTTGAATTTCGAAATTAATTCCATAATAGGGAGCCTTGTTAATTAAATTTTTTGGCCCCTACTATGCCTAAATAATAGAAAATAAAGGAAACCCTTTCTTTTGTGGAAGAAGAAAACCTGACAGGTTTTGAAAAAGGGGTTTTAACCTAAAATATATATTTAATATAGGGCTGGCCGTTTTTGTACTCGTTTTTGCCTTGGAATTTCGCCCATCCGAAATTCTCTCTTTCCGAATATTATTTGGGTAACACAGTAGAAGACTGTGGAATGTTTTGCTGAGGTCGTGGTCTTGCTACTATGGAACTGGAGACAGATTAATCTGCTTTGTTCACGCTTCAAGAGGTAACTCGAATAATCTCCGTATGTGCTAATTTAATTTACACATGAATATGATACTGTAATTACTTCCGTTGTGATATATAATCCAACTTGGTATTAGAGCCTACTCACGTCTAATTAGATAATTAGGATGAACATGAAAAGGAACATCATGTTAATATACAAGTTTTGAATTACATGCAAAGATTTTTTTTTCTGTAAAACTACACTGTTTTGAGCATGAATATTTGTTCCGAGAATTTGATTATTTTAAAAATCATGTAATATCTGCTTATTGTTGATGATATTTGATTAGAATAATCTGAAAATTTCGTTAATCCGAGGAAAACGCAAAAGCCACTATTTATTCGAATTGGTTAGAAAATCGGAGGTCAATATGTTGACGGACTCCGATTGACCTGAAATTTGGCAGGTCCATGAGAAATGGCCCATTGATCAATACTCATCAACTTCGCTCCTAATGTAAGCCGTTTTCGGGCTTTCGGGGTCGTTTAGATGGTGTTTTGGGCGTTTTTCTAATTTTCTGGAATTGTTTCAATTTGTTTTAAAGTTATTTTTAATCCAGTGGTGGTAGGGATCGTTTCCTATGGACTCCAGGGTTAAATTCTGGTGATATAATGACACACGTTGACGTAGGTCTTCTTCCATATTGGATAAACTCATTATAGATAATCACTAGGTAATACTAGTTGTTGATTACTTGTATTTACTCTCCATCTGAGTATGCATGTTGGTTCAATGGGACTAGTATATTGAATGTTGATTCACTTGACTTAAATTAACAATTTACTCTCCATCTGAGTAAGGTCTGTTTAAATTCATGGAGTGAATAATCTGTCATTACATATGTATATTGCGAGAATAGCTCTTTTTCCATCGAAACTTGTTGTTCAAGGTGCATGGATTATATATATGTAGTGTGTTTTGAATTTTAATATTCAATAAAACATGACTGATTTTGATCTATTTATTTAATTGTTTCTCAGATTAACCATGACTGCTTTCAATCCCCTTGCTACTATTCTTACTCAAAACAAACTTGAGGGTCCGAATTATGTTGGTTGGAAATGAAACTTAGATATTGTCCTAATTGCTGAAGAGTACAAATTTATGCTCGATGAGGTGTGTCCAGAAAAACTCGGAGATGATGCTACGGATAATGAACAGAAAGTTTACCAAAAATGGGTTAAGGCTGATGAGATGGCGCGGTGTTACATTCTGACATCTATGTTTCATTGTTCTGCAACATTAGCATCAGTCTATGGAGTCAGCTTATGACATTCTGGAAAATCTCACAGAGAAGTTTGGAGATCAGAATTGTGCGGCTAAGCAGACTGCCATGAAAGCTCTTCTGAATACCAAAATGGTTGAAGGTTCATCAGTTAAGGATCATGTTTTTAAGATGCTGAGTCTTCTGAATGAACTGGAGGTCCTTAGAACTAACATTGATAAGGACACGCAGATTGAGATGATCCTGCAGACTCTACCTGACAGTTTTCAGCAGTTTTGCCTGAATTATAATATGAACAAAATGGATTTGTCACTTGCAAAATTGCTGAATGAGCTACAGTTGGCAGAGACTATTATCAAGCAATAAGCTACTCTTGTGGCATTGAATTTTAAGGTAGGTTCTTCTTCAAAGCCGAGAGGTAGGCAGAAGAAGATAAAGGCTCAAAAACCCTCTGTTGCAAGCGCAACTGCTGGCGTGAAAAAGCATAAGGGCAAGTGTTATCACTGCAAGAAGCCTAGACATCTTAAGAAGAAATGTCCGGCTTATCTGGTCAAGCTGAATAATAAACCAGGTGATTTACATCTACTTGTCATTGAAACTCTTTTAGCGGTTGTTTCTACCATGTCATGGTGTGTAGATTCAGGAGCCACTAATCATGTCTGCACTTATTTGCAGGGGTTTCAAGTAATGTGGCGGCTAAGTAGAGGAGAAATCAATGTTTATCAAGTAGATGGTTCGGCAGCCCCAACTTTAGCATTAGGAAATATTAGTATTTTGTTTGGTACTAATAGAGTATTTATTAGCTTTAAAGGACACATTATATGTACCTTCCGTTAGAAGGAATTTAATTTTGGTTTCTAGCGCTATGAGAGATGGTTATGACATTAATTTTTATTATATTGATAAATATGTTATTAGTCACAATAAACGTTATCTCTCTTCGCCTACATTGATTAATGGTCTTTTTATTATTGGTTCTATTCCTAAACTGTTACAACCTAAAGAACTGAATTATAATGATTTACCAAATAAGAGAAAACGCTCTTCTGAATTAATTGAAACATATTTATGGTACTTGCGTTTGGGTCATATAAATCTAAACCGTATTTCAAGGTTGGTTAAGGATGGACCTTTAAGTTCATTAAAAGTGGAGGCACTACTAACTTGTGAATCTTGTTTAGAAGAAAAAATGACAAAACGAAATTTTCCCTCAAAAGGAAATCAAGCAAGTGATAAATTAGAGTTAATTCATTCTGATTTGTGTGGTCCAATGAATGTCCAAGCAAGGGGCGATTTTTAATATTTTATGACTTTCACAGATAATTACTCAAAGTATGGATATATTTATTTATTACGTCAAAAGTCTGGATATTTTGAAAAAGTTTAAAGAATTTAAGACAGAAACTGAAAAGCGACATAATAAATGTATCAAGACACTACGATCTAATCATGGTGGGGAGTATCTCTCTGCAAAATTTATTAGTTACTTATTAGAATGTGGAATTACCTCTCAATTATCTGCACCTGGTACACCACAACAAAATGGTGTAGCTAAAATAAGAAATATGACTCTTATGGAAATGGTTAGATCAATGATGAGTTATTCTAGTTTTCCTTCGTCCTTTTGGGGACATGCCTTAGAAATAACAAATTACGTTCTGAATTTAGTTCGTTTTAAGTCAGTACCTTTGACCCCTACAGAATTGTGGACTGGGCACAAGCCTAGTTTGCGGTATATTCGAGTTTGGGATTGTCCGGCACATGTGCTTAAAGGGAAAACAGATAAATTGGAGGCGAGAACGGATATATGTGTGTTTGTGGGTTATCCAAAAGGGGCGAAAGGTGGTTTATTCTATTATCCTAAAGAAAGAAAGGTAATTATTAGCACTAATGCCAAGTTTCTTGAAGAAGACTATTTTATGAACCATGTTCCTAGAAGTAAACTTGTTTTACAGGAACTTAGCAAAGGAATGGAAACTCAGTCATCTGAAAAACAAAACGACCAGATGCAAACCCCGGAAGTCGATTTTGACCTGCTATTGCATTTTAGTAGTGGGAGAAATGTCAATAGACTTGATATTCCGCATGAACAAGTGCCCAAAGCCATACTACCACAAATTAGTGGGAGTTATGTTGAGCAAGCTGCACAACAGGATGAAGTCATTGATATCCCTGTGGATAGCATGGAGACTCGGGTTCCTAATAATGATGTGGTTCAACCACAAGATCATAATGGTGTAGTTACAACTGGTGTAGTGCGTAGTCATAGTGGGAGAGAAATAAGATAGCCATTTCGTTATACACTCTTGGGAGAATCATAAGATAGAATCCCTGAAGAGCCAACTTTCGAACCTGTCAATTACGACCAAGCACTACATGATAAAGATGCTGATACGTGGGTTGTTGCTATGAAATCAGAGACGGGGTCTATGTACTCTAATCAAGTCTGGGATCTTGTAGGACCACCCGATAGGGTTAAACCCATTGGATGCAAGTGGATCTATAAGAAAAAAATAGGTGTAGACGGAAAAATGTAAACTTTTAGAGCAAGGCTTGTAGCGAAAGGGTTTACTCAGAAAG